TGCGTGCGTGCCCAAGATCCCGAGAGGAGAATGGAGGAGGATTGCGGCATGACCATCCCCCCTGGGGGGTGATTTCTCGCTTTCTGTCTCTATGTCTCTCTCTATCTGTCTGGCGAGCGCACGCGCCCTACAGTGAAAATCTCTCCCAAAAAAAACCGAAAAGAAGAAAAAAAGGAAAAAAAAAAGAAAGAAACTTAGAAAATAGGCTTAATGTAAAAAGCAGACATTGACAGCCAGAGAGAGGAAGAATGACAGGTCCCATCCTTCGTGATTGCTGGGCGGGAGTCCGATGCGAGGCCGTTTGGAGGACTGGGACAACACAGAGGAGGAGCTGGGTAGACAGGCACACATAGAACCCTGTTCTGGACAGTTTGGGTACCCCGTCTTCTCAGGCGCACCCAGGATACTTAGGGAACTTTATAAAAATGAACCAGGAAGTGGACAGGACTCAGCTTATTTCTAAGCATTGGCACCGTATAGACTACGCACAGGATGCAGTTAAGTTAGGAACGGAGGGAACAGTAACAGAAAAGTACAAATACGTTGGGAAGCCCAAACACTTTTATATAACCCATGGTTCGAAAGAGAAACCAGAGGTGGGAACTGAAGCGTACTCAGGGCAGAGGGTGGCGAGACTCTCCCGCGTGCTCCTGGGGGCTCGAGCTGAGCCGGTGCTGGCTTGGAGGGCATGCTATGGAGTTCTCCGGCAACGGTTATGGTGATTACGGTGGGGACGCCTCCACTGAGCAGAGCGTGTGGGAGCCCTGACCTCTGGCCCTTCCTGTTGTCATGTATCTTTCCACCAGACAGAGAGAGACGGAGAGACAGACAGAAAGTGAGAAATCACCCCCCCAGGGGGGATGGCCACACCGCAATCCCTTCTCCTCCATTCTCCTCTCGGGATCTTGGGCACGCACACACACACACACCCAGCGTGAGTTTTAAGCCACTGGGTCCAGGACTCGAACCGCGGTCGACTACATGGGAATCCAGCAACAGAGCCATTATGCTAACTGCTGGTCCCAAGCTGAACTTTTTGACAGTTGCCCTTATGGGGCCAGTTTATTGAATGGTTGTCCTCTGATCAAGTATTTGGATTATTTTAGGCACAGACTTGTGATTTTTTCCCTGGGGGGGTTGCCAGTGTCTTGAGTGACAGATTTCATCATGTGGCTATGGCCCGCAGCCCCAAGATGAGGTCGCGTCTCTGGAGCAGTCCCGCTATTTCTCCCCGCTGCCCTCCGCCTTCTCTGGGTGGGAGGAAGTCCTGTTGTATGGCTCTCGTGTGGTGTGTCTGGTGGCCCTAATGACAGAAAGGTTCGAAGCTTCAGGTCATCATTACACACGCCGTTCCCCGAGCGGAAAAGGAAGCTGGCCCAGCTGGCTCTCATCTCACGTGACTGTTTCTGTGGGACTTTCCTGAAGGTGTTATGCTGAGGGGGTATACTGCCTTTTTTATTTTTTCTTTGAAAAAAAATGTACCAAGGAGTGTGTGCATTTCTAAGAAATGGGGCGGAGAGTGGTAGGGAGGAAGGGAGAAAGCACCTCTTATGCCACAGTCCCTTCTCCGTTTCTCCATCCGTTGGGATTTGGGGCAGACACACTCATGTACCCAGCGTGTTTTTCAAGCCACTGGGGCTGAGATTTGAACCACACCGTTGGCCATATTCCTATCTGGCTCCCTTAGCCACTGGGCTACTGACCTTAACTGCAGTGCCCGGCTGGGAATGGCGGAATCGCTGGTGTGTGTTTGGATGACCCCGTCCCCAGGGAGGGCAACTGATGGCCATCGGCCTCCAGGCCGGAGTGGCCGGGTTGCTGCCTCAGCCACTAGGGGGGGTTGGGCTGGATCCCCCGAAGGGGGCAGGG